GAAAAGACAACCCTCAGAATGGAAGAAAATATTTGCAAACGAAACAACAAAGGATTAATCTCCAAAATATACAAGCAGCTCATGCAGCTCAATATCAAAAAGCAAACAACCCAATCCAAAAACGAGCAGAAGACCTAAATAGACATTTCTCCAAAGAAGATATACGGATTGCCAACAAACACATGAAAAGATGTTCAACATCACTAATCATTAGAGAAATGCAAATCAAAACTACAATGAGGTATCACCTCACACCAGTCAGAATGGCCACCATCAAAAAATCTACAAACAGGGCTTCCCTGTTGGCGCAGTGGTTGAGAGTCCGTCTGCCGATGCAGGGGACACGGGTTCGTGCCCCGGTCCGGGAAGATCCCACATGCCGCAGAGCGGCTAGGCCCATGGGCCATGGCCGCTGAGCCTGCACATCCGGAGCCTGTGCTCTGCAACGGGAGAGGCCACAACAGTGAGAGGCCCGCGTACCGGGGAAAAACAAACAAACAAACAAAAAAAAACTACAAACAATGAATGCTGGAGAGGGTGTGGAAAAAGGGGAACCCTCTTGCACTGTTGGTAGGAATGTAAATTGATACAGGCACTATGGAGAACAGTATGGAGGTTCCTTAAAAAACTAAAATTAGATATGACCCAGCAATCCCACTACTGGGCATATACCCTGAGAAAATCATAATTCAAAGAGTCATGTACCACAATGTTCACTGCAGCACTATTTACAATAGCCAGGACATGGAAGCAACCTAAGTGTCCATCGACAGATGAATGGATAAAGAAGATGTGGCATATATATACAATGGAATATTACTCTGCCATAAGGAGAAATGAAATTGAGTTATTTGTAGTGAGGTGGATGGACCTAGAGTCTGTCATACAGAGTGAAGTCAGAAAGAGAAAAACAAATACACTATGCTAACACATATATATGGAATCTAAAAAAAACCAAAAAGGTTCTCATGAACCTAGGGGCAGGACAGGAATAAAGACATAGATGTAGAGAATCGACTTGAGGACATGGGGAGGGGGAAGGGTAAGTTGGGACAAAGTGAGAGAATGGCATGGACATATATACACTACCAAATATAAAATAGATAGCTAGTGGGAAGCTGCTGCATAGCACAGGGAGATCAGCTCGGTGCTTTGTGAGCACCTAGAGGGACTGGATAGGGAGGGTGGGAGGGAGACACAAGAGGGAGGGAATATGGGGATATACGTATGCATAGAGCTGATTCACTTTGTTATATAGCAGAAACTAACACAATACTGTAAAGCAATTATACTCCAACAAAGATGTTAAAAAAAAAAAAAAAAAGACGAGCTATCAAGCCATGAAAAGATATGAAGGAAACTTAAATGCCTATTACTAAGTGAAAGAAGCCAGTCTGAAAAGGCTGCATATTGTATGATTCCAACTATATGACATTCTGTAAAATGCAAAGCTTTGGAGACAGTAAAAAGATTGCCAGGGGTTAGGAGGGAGGGAGGGATGCATAGGAGGAACACAGAGGATTTGTAGAGCAGTGAAACTATTCTGTATGACATCATTTGACCAAACCTATAGAACATACACTACCAAGAGTGAACCCTAAGTAAACGATGTACTGCGTCAGTGTAGGTTCATCAATCACAAAAAGATGAAACAAACTAACAAACAAATCTGGGGTATCTTATAGTGCCAGAAAATAAGGAAGTACTCAAAAGACAAAAGGATAGGGGCATGTGAAAGGGATACAAGAATTAATCTGAAAGAATTCCCAACAACTAAAACAATTTGAACAACAAAGTAAATAGCACAGCATTGAAATATAACCCAAACCATAAAATATACATCAGTCCATCCTGATATAAACGATGACATAAATAAACAAGAGCAAAGAGACATAAATCATCCATACAGAAGAATTCCAAATACTCCCCCCTTCAAGAGATGAAGCATAATTCCATCTCCCACTTCCCAACCCTTCACTCCTACCTCCAGTGAAGGTGGGTGTACTTAATAACTCACTTCCAAAGAATAAATTGGAGAAAGGGAAAAACAGTACATTTTCAGTGGAGAAACTTGGCAAAGACTACCTCACCCAAGTAATGAAGGTTAATAGCACCATATGGATATCAAGTCCCCCCGACATGATATGACAAGAATAGCACTTCACCTCCGTGGTATTTTTTCTAACCCTCCCTAAAACTTCAGAAAAACATCAGAAAAATACAGATTGGCATACTTTCTGCAAGTCATAAAAAGCAAGCAAAGACTGAGAAACTGTTACAGACTACATGAGACTAGGGAAACATGACAACTAAATGTAATGTGGTACCCTACAGTGGATCCTGGAAAAAGGAAGAAGGCATTGATGGAACACCAGTGAAATCCAAATAAACTCTGGAATTTAGTTAATTGTAATGTTCTTAGTTTTGACAAATGTACCACGGTAACGTAAGATGTTAACAACAGGGGAAACTGAGTGAGAGGTATCTAAGAAGTCTGCACGATTTTTCCAACTTTTCTACATTTAAAAATTATTCAAAAATAGAACGTTTATTTTAAAAACAACAAAATTAAACTTTAAAATGGAGCCATAGGGCTTCCCTGGTGGCGCAGTGGTTAAGAATCTGCCTGCCAATGTAGGGGACACAGGTTCGAGCCCTGGTCCGGGAAGATCCCACATGCTGCAGAGCAACTAAACCCGTGCACCACAGCTACTGAGCCTGTGCTCTAGAGTCCGCGAGCCACAACAACTGAGCCCACGTGCCACAACTACTGAAGTCTGTGCGCCTAGAGCCTGTGCGCCTCCACAAAAGAAGCCACCGCAATGAGAAGCCCGTGTACCGCAACGACGAGTAGCCCCCGCTCACCGCAACTAGAGAAAGCTCGTGCACAGCAACGAAGACTCAACACAGCCAAAAAAAATAAACAAATAAAATAAATAAAATGGAGCCATAAACCCACTAAACCAACATAGATATCCTTTTGGAAAATGTTAACCTTCTAAATTTAACTACCATTTACTCCATTTTAAAAGTCTGTTAAATAAAATTTAGAAAAACTAAATTTAGACAAATTTAGTCTTCTTTAGAAAGAAGACTAACAATTTCTTACTGGAGATTAAATCATGTATTAATCTGAAACATGATGTACTGTATATTAATAGTACTAGAACTATGCATATTAAACTAGGAACATTTGATTGACACAGAAATACTTCATAACACATTAAAAATATAAAACCTCATATTCTGCCAATATAAGCTTCTGTCAAGTTTCACTGTACATTGTGTTCTTTGGTTCACTGCACTTTACTGGTAAAGAGGGAACATATTTAATCCACTAGTGATATTATAACCAAGAAACTTGGTAAATTTATACCTTTCCCATATTATGACACTCCTGAGGGGAATATATGTTGTCTCTAACTTTACAGATAAAAGAAATAAATAATGAAAGCCTGTTAAGAAAGGTTATCCAAAACTTGGATTAAGCTAAAAGGTAGACAGAACATCCTTCCAATGTAATGTGGGGACACAGACCCACTCAAAGGTTATTTAACTACCTAGGGGAATGAACTTTGCTCCATTATTCTATTTACTATCAAACTAAATATCCTAGATTAAGTAAAGTTACATGTTCACTTATAGATTTTTGTCCAGTAGAGTTGCAAATCATTTCTGTCATGTAGAAGAGAAAATTCCAAAGGTTAGGGTGTATCGGTCTGTGGGACATTAACCAGTTCATAACTAACTTAGCAATCTTATTCTAAAATTCTTTTATTAAACTGCGTATGAATCCACAGCTCCCCAAATAGTCTTTGAACTAGCCTTACTATTTTCTTCAGTAATTACTGAATTGAATAAAATATTTTATATTTCTATGAATCATGTTTTTAATTTTTTTAAATTATACTTTGACAGGCATAAGGAACTTTCCATGACATGCTTGACATGGCCTTTCCCACATACAGCTCTGCAAATCCTACAGTCTCACAGGGCTATTATGATTATAGTTTTTCTGCACTGTATTCTGATAATGTTGTCAATTATTTGGTTATTGGAATTATCAAATAATATCTTTGTCAAAGGTAAATCTAAGTAAAGTATATATTATTTTCAAGACCCTCTTTACTCCACCATTGACACTCTCCATCTTGCCAGTAAAGTCTGTAAAAAAGTAAACATGAACACTATTCTATTTCCCCTGTTTTTCCACCCTGTGCATTTTAAAAACAATGGGAAATACAAGATTCCCTGTTTTTACTGGAGCCATTTCCTGAAGAGATTTTTAAGTCTCAAGCTCTGTATGAGAAAACAAAGATATTTACATCTTCGTAGGAGACTCATTACTTGCTGAGTCGGCATTAAGAAATTACCCACAGAATCAGAGAATATAAGATTTAGACAGGACTTTAAAGATTTTCCTGTCCAATCTCCAAAAGGAAAGAAAATAGGGCAAAAAGGATTATAGTGGTTTTCCAGAGGTCTGAGAGTGGCTAAAATTAATGTGAGCTGACTTCTAATACTTTCTAAATGGGCACACATCTCCCATGATGACTCTGTGGGTTAATTTTCTTTCTTTAAACCAATTATTAAAAAAATATTTTTTCTTCCACTTGTTCCAGGTACCTCTCTTATAATTTCTAGGTGTAAATTATAACTGCCTTTACTTTCATAAACATGATTAATTACACTTATATTTTGATTATGTGTTTTGAGATTTAAGCAAAGATTAGTAAAAAGAAAAAAAAAAACGACAACTTCATATTTCCAGTGTTACATTCTTCACCAAAAACCAAAGTCTAGACTAATGTGATTTTTTTAGAAAGAAATTTGGATATTGTCAAATTTGTCAATCTAAATGTACTTTTAGTGAATTGAAGTGGACTAATCACAAACATGAACTACAATTTTTAGGTTTGAGCATCAGGAAAGAAAACATTATTACACTCTCACCCAACCAACATCAGTAGTCCATTAAAGCAAAAGAGAAAACTCTGTACCCTGACATCACTTCTAGATGAAGTTGTCCTGAGACAGTTAAGAAAACAGGAACATTGAAGAAATTCTCCTCAGGTACCTTTATTTTGCTTGAAGGCTGCAAAAGAAAACACAAGCCATAAAAAGCTATTATTAGATGTTTTGCTCTGCTTTTCATATTCACGTTTGTGCCACAACTAAAAAATCATACGCTATTAAACATATATGAGGACAGGTTCATTCTTACGGGAAAAAAGGGCAGCTTTCAGTATACACTTAAAAGAGAAAATTCCTGTTTGGAAAGTGCTAAGTTCAAGGAAGTTTGCTCCATATTTTTCAAAATATATAACAACCAAAGAACAAACTATTTTTGTCACAAAATATACTCCTTCTTAAAAACTGATTTTGATTGAGGGGCAAGCTGAAGCAAGAAATTATGAACTAGAAGTTTTAAATGTGAGGCATTACATAGTCTTTTAAAATTCTGACCCATGACTGAGATTTAATTTTAAGGGAATAGCCTCTAAAACATGTCTTGTCATATTATTATTAAATTATTAATAATAACACTTTTAATACAGATTTTTATAAACACATTATAAACTTTTAAACACATTAATTTCACTTATTCTTCCCGACAACTAGGAGATAAAGCAGGACCATATCTTTAAAAGATATGATGAACATTTAGATTTAAAGATTTTTATGAACTTACAGTATAGATAGAGTGATTATTCCATTTGAAACTGACAGGAAATACGTCAGCCAACACTTATTAACAGTTAAGATAAAAAATTATTTGGAGATCAAACATAATTTAAATAGTATAATTAAGAAAGCTTCTAGATCAAGTTATGACCATTATATCCATTTGGGGGAAGGAAGCTAATTTACCTACTCTTGTATTTCAAATTGTGATCTGAAAATGTCTTTGTGTGATGGTGCACTAAAACAAGTGCTGTAAAGGCAACAAAGCCAATATAAAATTTTCAATACAGGATGTACGACTCCTTTTAAGAGACTTAGTACCAACTACTGAATTATAGAAACACATGAAATGAAGATATTTAATTCCATCGTTTGTTCTAAAAATATTGCATATCATGTATGGTTATGCGTGTGTATGAATATGAAATCTAGTGTAAAATTACCAACTGAAATCATTCATTTATTTTGTAATTGCCTATTATTTTTAAAACTTACTTTTACCTGGTCCTAAACGTCCTATTATTGCTTTATAAAAATCATCTTTGAAACCCACTATCACTTAAAGGATATCGTTTCCAAGGACTTAAATACTCAATACTAAAATATTCGACTTATGTTAGGATTTCAAAATAAAAGACATGTTCTCTGATATTTCTTTACTATTTACTAAATAATTATATTTCAAATCAGGCCCAGCACGTTTATAAGAATATTATACTTTCTCCTTTTCCTCACTTCTTTAGTCTATAATTTGTATTGGTGTTTTATCCTGACTTCTCTAAAAGTGATTTCTCTCATCTCCTGCACATATAAAAAAGTCTAATATTTAGGACTTGATTTTAGTATCTCATTTATTAGCATTTGTACAAAATGATGTCTGAGCTTCTTATATCTCTAAATCCAACTTATTTAAAGTTAAAAACATATCACTACTTCATTATGCCTTCCAATGTCATATGTAAGCATTTAAATACTGAAATTCATACTACTTTTTAATAAATTACTTCCTTTCAGTTCTCCTTTATATTACAGTGAATGCATTACAGTGACTTTAAAAACTTCTGTATGTATTAAGTTATATTACCTATATATTTTATTTCAGGATATTAAAGGGACATTATAAATTATTTTTTAAAAAAGTAATTGCTGGGGACTTCCCTAGTGGTCCAGTGGTTAAGACTTCACCTCCCAAGGCAGGAGGTGCACGTTCGATCCCTGGTCAGGGAGCTAAGATACCTGGCGGCAAAAGAAACAAAACATAAAAACAGAAGCAATATTGTTACAAATTCAATAAAGACTTTAAAAATGGACCACATCAAAAAAAAAAATCTTACAATGGTGGGATAGGTAGCTCCAAAGGCCTATCCCTCTACAGAAAAACTGAAAATAATGAGTAAAAACTATAAGCATCAAAGGTTTAAAGTCACCAAACAAATGCTGAATCAAGAAAGAGGAAACTTAAAAATGGTAAACTCCACCTAACAATAGCAGACTGCACACTCTTTTCAAGTGCACATGGACACTGTCCAAGATCAACCATATGCTAGAACATAACAAGTCTCAACAAATCAGATAAATTACCTTTTTTGAACATAATGGGATGAAACTAGAAATGTAAACTGGTGCAGTTACTTGGGAAAAGAGTTTGGTGGTTCTTTAAAAAGATTAACAAGAATTATTATACATACAACATACAAATTCTACCTCTAGGTATATGTCTAAAAGAATTACAACCAAGTATTCAAACAACAATGCATTAAAAGGACTGTACACCATCCTTCATCCCAGGGATGCAAGGATTTTTCAATATCATAAATCAATCAATGTGATACATCACATGAACAAACTGAATAAAAACTATACCATCATCTCAATAAATACAGAAAAAGCTTTTGATAAAACTCAATATCCATTTCTGATTAAAAAAAACTCTTCAGAAAGTGAGCACAGAGGGAACATACCTCAACATAATAAAGGCCATATACAACAAACCCACAGCTAACATCATACTCAACGGCGAAAAGCTGAAAGAACTTGCTCTAAGATCAGGAACAAGGCAAGGATGCCCACTCTCGCCACTTTTATTCAACATAGTTTTGGAAGTCCTAGCCACAGCAACCAGAGAAGAAAAAGAAACAAAAGGAATCCAAATTGGAAAAGAAGAAGTAAAACTGTCACTGTCGGCAATGACATGATGCTATACATAGAAAAGCCTAACACGCTACCAGAAAACTACTAGAGCTCATCAATGAATTTGGTAAAGTTGTTGAATAAAAATTAATATACAGAAATCTGTTCCATTTCTATACACTAACGAAGAAAGACAGGAAAGAGAAATTAAGGAAAAATCCCATTCAGCATCATAACAAAAAGAACAAAATACCTGGGAATAAACCTGTCTAAGGAGACAAAAGACCTTTACTCTGAAAACTATAAGACACTGATGAAAGAAATCGAAGATGACATAAACAGATGGACACATATACCATGTTCCTGGATTGCAAGAATCAATATTGTGAAAATGACTATACTACCCAAAGCAATCTACAGATTCAATGCAATCCCTATCAAACTACCAATGGCATTCTTCACAGAATTAGAACAAAAAATCTTACAACTTGTATGGAAACACAAAAGACCCCAAATAGTCAAAACAATCTTGAGAAAGAAAAATGGAACTGGAGGAATCAGGCTCCCCGACTTCAAACTATACCACAAAGCTACAGTAATCAAGACAGTATGGTACTGGCACAAAAACAGAAATATAGATCAATGGTACAGGACAGAATGGCCAGAGATAAACCCATGCACATATGGACACCTAATTTATGACAAAGGAGGCAAGAACATACAATGGAGAAAAGACAGGCTCTTCAATAAGTGGTGCTGTGAAAACTGGACAGCTACATGTAAAAGAATGAAATTAGAACACTCCCTAACACCATACACAAAAATAAACTCAAAATGGATTAAAGACCTAAATGTAAGGCCAGACACTATAAAACTCTTAGGGGAAAACATAGGCAGAACACTCTATGACATAAATCACAAAAAGATCCTTTTGACCCACCTCCTAGAGAAATGGAAATAAAAACAAAAATAAACAAATGGGACCTAATGAAACTGAAAAGCTTTTGCACAGCAAAGGAAACCATAAAAAAGATGAAAAGACAACCCTCAGAATGGAAGAAAATATTTGCAAACAAAACAACTGACCAAGGATTAATCTCCAAAATATACTAGCAACTCAGGCAGCTCAATATCAAAAAGCAAACAATCCAGTTAAAAAATGGGCAGAAGACCTAAATAGACATTTCACCAAGGAACACATACAGATGGCCAAGAGGCACATGAAAAGATGTTCAACATCACTAATTATTAGAGAAATGCAAATCGAAACTACAAGGTTATCACCTCACGCCAGTCAGAATGGCCATTATCAAAAAATCTAGAATCAATAAAAGCTAGAAAGGGTGTGGTGAAAAGGGAACCCACCTGCACTGTTGGTGGGAATGTAAACTGATACAACCACTATGGAAAACAGTATGGAGGTTCCTTAAAAAACTAAAAATACAACTATCATATGACCCAGTAATCACACTACTGGGCATATACCCTAAGAAAACCATAATTCAAAAAGAGACATGTACCACATGTTCATTACAGCACTATTTACAATAGCCAGGACATGGAAGCAACCTAAATGTCCATCGACTGATGAATGGATACAGAAGATGTGGTATATACATACACAATGGAATTTTACTCAGCCACAGAAAAGAATGAAATAATGCCACTGGCAGCAACATGGATGGACCTAGAGATTATCATATTAAGTGAAGTAAGTCAGAAAGAGAAAGACAAATATCATATGACATCACTTATATGTGGAATCTAAAAAAGTGATATGAATGAAGTTACCTACAAAACAGAAATAGACTCCGACATAGAAAACGAACTTAAGGTTACCAAAGGGGAAAGGGCAGGGAGGGATAAATTGAAGTGTGGAATTAACATATACACACTACTATGTATAAACAGATAAACAAGGACCTACTGTTTAGCATGGGGAACTATATTCAATGTCTTGTAAGAATTTATAATGGAAAAGAATTTGGAAAATAATATACATAAATATAAAATGAATCACTGTTCTGTACATCTGAAGCTAACACAAGATTGTAAATTAACTATACTTCAATTTAAAAAATGGTTATAAAAATTTTAAAACTCCAAGTATTCAAATAGATACTTGTACATTAATGTTCATATCAGCACTATTCACAACAAAGGTGGAAACATGGATAAGTGGATAAGCAAAATGTAGTATATATAAACAATGAAATACTATTTAGCCATAAGATGGAATGAAGTACTTATATATGCTAAAACACGGATAAATCTTGAAAA